ATGCAAGATATAGATTGTTTAACCGGTTATTTCGCTATCTGACAGAAGGTCTCGATCCATTGGTGGCCTGTTAATACGGCGAATGTAAATGCGATTAAATACCAGAGAATTATCTTATCACTATTTCGTATTACTAATCCGGATATGAAATATATTTTAAAAATCTTTAAACAACTTGCAAAGAATATTGTTACAGAATATATCACTTAGCAATAGCATTTAGTTGTAATAGTGAAAAATGTGTGTCAAGCTGAAAATGAATATAAATATATATAATTTTCAATAAGATTTCTCTCAGTATCATAAGCAGAAAAGGGGAAGGTTGATTAGCCCTAAAACTCTCTAGTTAAATCCCACTTTTATATAAAATTGAAAACTGTCCTCAGTCACCATTGTTCATAATACAGCAGCAACCATCTTTTTTAAGTTTCCAATATCTGTATGATTCTTTTATTTTTAATGGTTCAAGTCATTTCTGTCTCTCTAATAGAGATGTTTAAAAACTATATATATATTAGCTGGTACACCCGTTCTTCTCACGGGTGAATTGAAAAATTAAACAATACAGATTGAATGATAAAGAAGTTTTTCATTAGTTAATTTTACATTAATTTCAAATGAAACAAACAAACAAAAAAAAAACTTTTGCATATCTCAGCTGAACAAAAAATCATACTTGTTAAATTTTAAGTCTGTAGGTCAAATAACTGATAAAAATTATTATTTTTATTTATAACATACCTGTAATTCCCTTGTGGGTCGATTTTTGTAAGCATTTTCCTAAGCTTATCTCTGCTCAGCAAAAGTAACATATTGTTACAAACTTAATATAATGAATGATTAAAAAAAGGGAAATAATTTATATCTGGATGTGTAATACGTTAATATTACTTTCGGTTGTATTTATTTTATGTTAAAGTTGTAATATTCCCAAACAACACCGTTCCTTTCATTATAACGGCGATTCATAGGGAACATAGCGAATCGTTGGCGAGGGAGCAAAGTTGGCATCATTTTTGGCGAGCAAGTTGGCAACTTGACGATTGATTGAACGGTGCAGAAGTTGAAACGCTGTAGCGCCACCTGGTGGGGAGTTGCAAAAAAAATAACACGAAAACCTTCTCCACAAAAAAATACAGGTACATGCCAATTTTCATAGTGATCGGTTGAACGGTGTTAGAGTAAAGCGAGGTCATTCATACACACATATACGAGGACATATATATACTATATGTGTGTGTATTTCTTACACCTATGATAAAAATTTAATTACTAATTAAAACAATTAAAATGTTATTATGTATTACACTCGTTGCCATAAAAATTTGCGCACCAATATAGAGTTGACAGAATAAAACGAAATTTCACATGTATTAATACTAAGCTGATGTAAGTAAGAGATTAAAAAATCAAAACTCAATGATCACTTATTGTTGAAAAAATTACAAATGAGGGAACATTTTAGTACCTTGTTATGCCACCTCTAGCATGAATGCAGGATATGATACAGTTGGCCACAAGTCTAGTATGATGCGCATACAAGTCTAGTATGATGTCCTGCGACTTCTCGTTCCACGCTTGCTGTGAATGCCCCTGTAACTCAACCAAACTCTCATTGTCCAACTTGGCACCCTAAATGATCTCAGATATGCTCGATCAGTGGCAAATCTGGGAATCGAGCAGGCAAGAGAAGGACGTAAATAGGGCTCAGGGTGTCCTGTGATGCCCTTGCTTTATGTGGGTAGTATAGTTCCTTCTCCTTGCAGCCCTGCCATGAGTGGCAATATAAGTGGTTGAAGAATGTCACGATCGTACTTCCGGGCTGCCATGGTGCAGTGAATCAGTATTAGGGGTAACTGTGTGTCGTATTCGATGGCACCCATACCCTCACACCAGTTGTGGGAGCTGTACAATGAAGGCAGGTTTGAGACGTTCACCACGAAGCCTTCACCTATGTATACGATCGACATTACTGCCCAAATTGAATCTGGATTCATCGCTGAAGACAACCTGATTCCACATGGTTGCAGTCCAACCTCTTCGAGCGTGACACCACTGCAAATGGAGGCGATGGTGAGTGGGTGGCAATGGCAGTGTACGAAATGAGCGCCACGGTAGCAGCTGTCCTTCAGCCAGGCAACTTGCGATGGTACGGACCGACACATAGGACCGTAATGAAGGTGCTGTCTGTGTATGGATAGCGGATAATGAGACGGTTCTATGCGTGTGTGTCATATGATGGGACGACATTCTCAACTCTTGGTCTGTCGAGGGCATCCTGAGCCTGCACGCCACTCTCTCTCTTGTCCACTGGTCCCAACACCTCCTAACAGTAAAGTAAGAACGGTTTAGAAGATGAGCTACTCGCCGAGCTGATCACCCGGTTCCCATTGTGTTTATTATACTTCCCCTCATGAACTCTGACAATCGTTTATAGTGTCTACGATGGCAGCATACTGGTATCTCTAGTTAAAAAACGTCCTTTTGCAACGTATTAAATACACGCAAACAAGCTCTGCTTACCTGTTTTATAATTCAAGAAGAACGAAGTTTAACGCCCTCTGGTGGCATTATACAATGGGCTATCGTTCTGCATTTCTAATGATTTGCATAACTGCCTGACACGTACCTTCATGCCAAGTTTCGTAACAATTTCCCTCTTACTATTTGGTTCGTGAATTTTTATGGCAATGAGTGTATTTTGTTTTAAAATCTTAAAAAAAATCAAGGTTTTTTTTTTTTACATTTTGTTTCTAAATACCTAAGCATTTTGATGACACTAATTTCAATCCCTGTGCCTAATTTTCTTAAAAAGGAAAAATAAATAAATAAAAATTACAAACAAGTTTGTATGAAGTGATTCGAGGGGCCATAATCCCCCCTCCCAGTATTATTTTGAAATAAACGTTTCAAACTCAGAACTTTTAGAGCTGTACAGCTCAAAATTTTCTTCTCATGGTATATAACTTATTTTTTCTTTTTTTTTAAAAAAAAAAAATCTGTTTTGTTTTGCAGACGTAGACAACTGCGTTGAAAGATTTCGGTATTTAATTCTGCCTTTACCAGCAATTAATTTTTAAACGTTGGCATTTGTTTCAAGATTGTTTACATATCAGGCAAGATAGAGAAAGATAATTTTTTTGTTTTGTAGGATTTACATTACGCAGGTATCAGGAAGAAATGAAAAAATAGTCATTAGTAACATCTTAATATGTTTAATCTATGCGGGCAATGTATCTGTAAAATGAATAACTTGCGGAAACCCAAGAGATAAAAAAACTGGAGGGGTAATTAAGAAGATAAGCACAGTGCTTTTTTCCTAATTATCGTAGTGTGTATGTACATACAGTCAGACCTCCATTTTACAAACTTCTATATTTCGCAAACTTTTTTCTTGAACCAAAAAAATTTTACAAACTTTTTTATTAAATAAACACCATATAGCGAAGTGCATTTTCTATTTAACGAACTTTTTCTCTTGCGTTATTCGATTTTTTTCTCCCTATTTGTAAAATATTTCTAGACATTTCCAATTATTCCCTCTTTTAACATATTTTATGGTGATCAATGACATTGAACTGCTTTTACCTGGTGCCTAAGTCACCCACAGAAATAAAATTGTCGAAATTTTGGGAATTTCATTTTTTTTTCTCAAACAAAAAAACTGAAACAAAGTTAAGAGACTTTATCAGTAGTTAAATTTAAGGACGCATGTGGTAATATATGATTAAAATTAATGTTTATAAAATAATGTATGTTTAAAATTACCTGTAGGCTTAAAGCAAGAAAATATCAAAGTTTTTATTTTTTTAACATAAATAAGTTTTAAAAGTTAAAAATACAGTGCATTCCAGAAAAAAAAACTTTTCTTGCTCTCCGTGCAGATTTTTTTTTTAACGGGTAAGATATATAAAATAAATCGGTATTATAATTTCCAAAAAAACTGCGTGAATAATTATATTTTTAATAATATCTAGTGTTTGTGTGAATTTAAAATTTGTTTTATGGGGTTTATAAAGTATATTGAAAGATGAATCTCTATTTATATAACGAATTTTCCACTTAGCGAACTTTTTTCGGAATTTATCGACTTCGTTGATTAGAGTTCCGACTGTACATGTGTGCGCGTAATGTATAGTAAAAATAATCAAAAAATTATGTATATCACGTATATGGATAATCATAAAATTTGCTTTAGAATTTTATTGGAAAAAAATGGCTTTTTGTTAGTTTTTTGGCGTGGCGAATTCTTGTTCTGGTATCGAATTCTTTTTCGCTTTATCGATCGTTAAATGAGATGTAGTTGTTCTTTCTATATGCTCGTTATTTTATTCGTTTCTTTTTTCGTGAATGAAGCTTTTGTTTTGAACTTTCCAAGTGGTCAACCAACTGTTGATCTTCGAGTTTAAATTTCTTCTTAGATAGTTATTTCTTTTTTAAGTGCAACACCTCATTTAAAGTTTTTTTGCGCATAAAATCGAAGAGTTCTTTTTTCCCCAGGGAAAACCGAGTTCATTCAGTAAGCGCTTAGGGCCGTGTACAGCGGCCTCCCAGAAAGTAAAGGTTTGACGGACGAATAGAATGGCTGAAATTTATAAGAGGAAAAACAGGTGTGAAATATAAAATTCTGAGAAATAAAAATCTTTCTCAAAATGTTCACCTTTTTTTGTGAAAATACATAGGGTATCATTGATTTTAATCAGTATTAAACACACACAAGTAATATAAAAAAAAATTAAGTCAATTCCTACTTAGATCAACAAAGGAAAATTTTACTTTAATTACTTTTTATTAAATAGTTACAATTAATACAAATATGTATATACATATGACAGAATCACACTATTAAGTGGCAAAATAGAAAATAGTTTTCCTTGCAATTTTCCATTTTCCTTTTCTATTCTTCTTTTCTATTCTTCTGTTTGTTACTATTTATTCATTCATTGAATGTAATTATTCTGATAAAATAGTATAGTAGAAAAGATTCTCAGGAATTAGGCCATTCCAGGTGGTATTCGAATCCACGACCTTTGGATCAGAAGTCCAATTATATATCCATTGAGCTACAGGAACACAAAGAACGACTTTCCTTTCTATATATACTGTTGGACTATTTTTTGTTTGTTACTATTTATTCGTTTTTTAATTTAATTAATGAATTAATATTTGAAGAAATGTACTTACATCAAGTGTCATCCACTACAAGTTTTAAGAAAATGTATTTGAGCTTGAGTGGAGAGATGAATGGAAATTATATTTTTCGTTCATCCACTCTATTTATTAACGATTTAAAATTTAAACAAGACGGGAGAGAGTGAACTAATAGTATAGGCATCGAAAAGATTATTATTATTCTAATTTCATCTACGTTGCGGTACTCGTAGTCAGAATTTTCATCATCAATAGGTATCTTCTGATAGCCAACTGCCTTCTAATGGGTCCCAGTAATCTTCAAAGCTCCTCTCTTCTAAATTTCGCAACAAAATATCATTAAATAAACATATTCTAAAAAGTATTTTCGTCATACATTAGCAGTGAAACAACTGTATAGTGGTGTAAATTTCTGTCACATGGTTTGGGGAAGATTATTTGGGGTATTCGATGTAAGTTGTATAGAAAATTATAGAAACACACAAAAAAAACCCTTTTTTCATCTCATTATCTCTTTCATTAGCAAAAACATCTCATATTCAAGAGATCTCAAAACAAAATATTCAATAAATCGCATGTTTCTTCCAACCACAACAAACAGCGAAATGACAAGTTAAAACCTGCTATAATGATTGTGACATCTGATTTTTTTGTCAGCTATGTTCCTTATTACGTAATAATCCTTCCTTATTACGTAATAAGGAATATACAGTACTTATAATCGTGAAAAAAGCTGCCAGTAACAACCAATATACAGTACATTTTTTTAGTACAATTTTTTGTTCATTAAATGTTACGATGGAAATTTTCATCATTGTGCAAAGAAAGATTAACATTGATTTGTTCGGTTTCAGGAAGTCATACATCGAACTAACCAGCAAAATGGAGAAGGTGTAAGAGGCTCGAGTCTCTCTCGCAGGCATCTAGATATGTGGGGGAAGGGGAGAAACACTCGACATGATTCAACTAATCTATTTATTTCCACACTAAGAACAGGCACAATTTCAACTAATAATATTAAGAGAATGTCTCAATGAAAACCGTGAATGTTGAACAACGACAGTAAAACGTGAGCGATTAGGCGACTAACAAACTTGATTCTTCTTTTAATTAAGGATTTAACCTGTTATCCGATTTAATCTAATCTTAATTCAATCTTCGTGAACAATCGTCACTTTAAGGTTTCCTTCTAATATAAGAATCAAACCACTCTAATTCTAATATTATACTTTCAGTAGCAAGAATACCTTCTCTCCTTCTCTCTTTCAAGCTAGAAAACCTCGTCTACATTTATAGTAAGTTAATTTATATATCACGATTCACTTCTTCCGAAGGTTTGGTTGTTGTTGTTGTTACCAATGCCACCTGATCGGCAAAGGTCAGATCAAGGCCCATGAAATTCATCATGGTAAAGGGCTATGTTACGCCTGTCGTTATCCGTAGCTTTGAGCACCATACAGGTGACAGAACGATTTAGCTTGATTTCACCCCAATTTTGAGGAAGAACACCCTGGGGTGGTCAGGGACCTCCCTCCTCTCTTCCCCTTCCATCAACCTCACGAGAGGACTTGCGGCTCGACGGTTATTTACAGTACCCCCATGCCGCAAAGGCACTATACATTTACAAACATCCATGTCTTCTCCGGGATTCGAACCCAGTTCCTACGTCGCCGCAGTCAGCGTCGCTAAAAACTATACCGGTTGGGCGACAGGTTTGGTTGTGAATAACGCGAATTGATAGTTTAAAGATTTCCCAAAAGGATTAATTAGAAAATCGCATATAGATGGGGCACAAAGGTATTAAATGAGTATGATTCATTTGAAAGTTTGCAGTGACCGGGAAATTCACGATGAAATGATGGCTGTATGTAAACGATACCTCTTTACACATATAACACCTCTGTGATGTGGAAAAAGAATTTTTAAACTAGCCACGAGTGCCTCACAAAGGATCCAAGGAAAGGCAGACTGCCACTCACAGATGCTGCTGCTACAGTGAAGAACATGGAGATGTTTATCTTATTAGATCAAAGAACAACTTGTAAGGGCGATCCCCTCGGGTGCCCTTCTCCTAGATTATCAGCGTGAGCTAGAGGTGTAGGAATAAATGAAGAACCAGAAGCTGCCATAATCTTAATATTACTTCATTAACTTAAACCAATAACAGATTAGGTAATAATATGATATGTGAGAGAATCTACGGTGGCTAAACACACAATATATAATACCGAAACAACGTAACGCGGTCCACTATCAATAACTAACTCACCTAAGCTCAATTTCAATGTAAACACAGATCCGAATATTAAAATGGTAACTCCTACCTTAATGTCCAACGAAACAGCGATCTATCTGATCCTAGCTGAAGTTGCGGTTCACTGGCGTGCATTTGTATGCACCTTCACTAAAGGCTCTCTGTCACGGGTAACCTCTCTTGACTGTCACTTAACTTCTGGAAATACTCTTCACACTTGCAACACGGACTATCATAACACTCCCCAAATGCCACACCGCTTACTCTAAGCTTCTGTTATTTAAAAGCTTCCTAATTTGGATCGTTCATTCACGTTTTACTTCTCCGGTTAGTTGGGAAAGAATTGCCATTTATTCTGGCCCCAAAGAACCCAAAAGGACATGTTAATGAAAAAGCGCGTGAGCCCGTCACAAACTAAAAGAGTCTGATCTTAGTTATGGTAGAGTGAGGAAGATAATTCATATAGAACTACACATGTGTAAGCTGTCAGCACGCTGAATTCCATGATTACTGAGTCCTTTTTAGAAGATGTTGAACGTTTGAATCGAGACGAAAGGGATTTTTTTGCTCGCCTTGTAACGGGTCTATCCGCGAACCTTCAACTAATCCTCTTGGAGTAAATTTATTTCTTTTTATCAGTAAGTTCTATTGAAAACTTTCTCCCGAAGAAGACGTTTTTTATTCAAATGTATTGTTCTATTTAAGTGTTCACATTTAGGTACAAGAACTTAGTCGACGGTAAGTCGCTGGATGGTCTATTATTGATAACTGAAGAATAAAAGTGATAAAATTGTGCTTAAGATTTACGACATGAGGCCGTACAATTAAGTAAGATATTTACGGGGAATTTTAGCGTAGAAGTCCAGAGAGCTCCAAGAATAAGTGGAGTAGATTATATTCATACGTTAAGTGTCCTTAAGCCGTGTGATTACTCTTCTAATCGGTTGCGTGGTTCATTTTCTAGCTTTAGTTGTTTGGCTTAAGGTATCCGACTACGTTCGGAACCGGGATTTTCAAAAGCGCATAAATGGATAATTTTCATGATATTTAGTGTCACTTAGATGGCCGCGGTAGCCGAGTGGTATAGGTATCGGACCGTGGCTTGCTTTGTCACGGGTTCGAACCCTGTACCACTAAAGACCCGCCGTGTAGGGCAGCGATGCACGTTAAATCTGTCGAGAGCTGAAACGTCCTCCCTTTGGTGTGGTGTGGTGTGGTAGTTGGGAGAGGGGGTGCCAGCTCAGGTGTCGTCCACGTCACTTGACCATGGTTCAAAATTACGTGGTCCGTCGCCAAAAGCCCTCGTGTAGCTGAACATTGCGACGTTAATATTCAATCAATCAATCAATCAATCAGTGTCACTTAGATTAGAATATATGCATAAAATTGTTTTAAGGACATTTTGAGAAAAAAGTTATCTAAATACAATATTTTGGCTAAAAATTAACTTAGAATAATCTTTTTTCCAAATGTTCTCCTTTTGTGAAAAATGCTTCTATTAGAATAATATTTTGCCTGTGTATATAGCTCAGACCTCTGTTCAGAGGCTCAACTAGAATTTTTGAAATATATAACATAGAAGGGGGTTTATTCATATTTTACGACAACAGAGGGGAGCAATTTTAAGAAAAAAACGTTAATAATTATTTCAATTGGTGGTAACTCTGAAAATAATGTGAATTTTTCCTTTATGAATAACCCTTTGGAATAGAATTATAACATTAATCAGAGAGTTGATAACATTGTAATCGGAGATGCAGAGCAAATCATTTAATAATATATTATAGTCATAATTTATCGTGCAAGTATAAAGTTTGCTGGTTTAAAAAAATCGATTCAGAGCTGTTCAACTTATTATGTGGACATTAGAATACTTTCTTCCTTTGCTCATAAGTTTCTGCCCAACCAGACCTACAAGTGCGCATATGGTACGATTTGGAATTATTTTATGAGTACTTGATTTGTCCAGGCTGAAAGTCCTCTCGAGGTGTCTTGTTTAAGAGAGTGGAATATTCACTCAGGTGTCATCCTCGTCACAAGACCAAGGTTCAGAATCATAGATCCGTCACCAATAACCCTCGTGTTACTTTGTCAACGTTAATGAACCGACCAGTCAATCTTCAGTACATGTGGCTTCTGTAGCCCAGTGGTCATTGACACGAGTTTGTGGCCGGCGTGTCTTGAGTTCGAGTCCCAGTGCCACTGAAGATACGCCTTGTAGAGGGGTTTAAATCTGCCATGGCTCAATGTCTTCCGGTTGACGTGGTTCAATGTCACGAACTCACGGCTGGCTGGCCATGAGCTTGAGCCTCTTGGTGCCGCTGAAGACCCTTGGATTAGAGGGGGACCGATGGACGTTAAATGGGCACCACGGTGACCTAGTGGTCAAGGTATGGGATCGTGGCTGGTATGTCATGAGTTCGAGTTCAGTACCACTAAAAACCCGCCGTGTAAGGGAGCGATACACGTTAAATCTGTCGAGAGCTCAAACTTCCTGTCGTTGGTGTGGTGTGGTAGTAAGGAGAAGGGGTGCAAGCTCAGGTGTCGTCCTCTTCATTTGACCAGGGCTCAAAATGACGAGGTCCGTTGCCAAAAGCCCTAGTGTAGCTGAACATTGGGACGTTAATATTTCCTCACTCACTTGGACGTTAACTCCGTCGACACTCAA